ATGCTCTCACCCCCTAGGATTGTTCTATATCGAAGAGTATACCATTTTTTTTTTATCTTGAAATCAAAAAATATTTAGAGGTAGCTCAAAGCACTTTAAGTTTTCCTTGTATTTTATATGGGGGAAAAACAACTTTTCATAGAAACGGTATATAATTCTTAAAAATCAATATTTTTCTATCGGAAAGTTCTGGTTATCTTCAAGAGACTTTAAATCATAGGACTCAATTGTTTATTTAACAATTTTTTAATACGAACTATATTTCATTGGTCCCCTCATTGCATTTTTTAGGGGTTTTGGGCGGACCTATAAATTATGGTTACAACGAAATAATGGTTAAATAAACAATTGGGTATTATTATTGGGAATTTTCTGCAGAGAAACAGAGTTTCCAATCGAAAAATATTGGTTTTTAAGAACTATTGCTACGAAAAGTTGTTTTTCCCCCATATAAAATACTTATAAAACTTTAAATATTTTTTGATTTCAAATTCTCCTCGAGACGAAACCCGATCCGACTGTAAATGTCGGAGATGTAACGAAAAATGTAAGAAGGCGATCCCTATGTTCAGCCAAAAAAAAATTGTTGTTTTCGAATGGCCTTGCAAAAATCTTAATATTCGAAGGCGTACGGCGAATTTTTTTCTAGTACATACAACAATGGCCAAAATATAAATTTGGACGCGACATTATAGCAAGCTTTGACTATTTTTTTCTTTGGTTTATTTAATGTTTATTATTGTTTCCATATTACCTTATAAAAACCATATAAATCCAAATTACAGACGTTGTGCAAAAATTATAAAAATTCTGCAAAATTTTTCCAAGGTAGGCAGTTTTGTAGCCTATTAAATTTTAGAATATTAATTTACAAGTCTGGCTTTTTTTGCTAAAGGCGCTGTTAATTTTCTTCGATAAAAAAAAAAGGTGTATGGAAAAAATGCGGAACACCGTCAGCAAGAAATAATTCGCAAAAATCAACTCGAATTCTTAACCGCTTGAAATTTGAACAATATTGTACTAAAATTTAAAGCGCTACAAAATTGCATATCCGCATTTTTTCTAGAAATTCTGTTTAAAAAGTATGCAATTTTGCTGACAATTTTTTAAACTATATTTTTGTAAAAAAAAAAATTAATTAAAAATAAATAGTCAACACTTTTAAAGAAGTAATGTCCCTAAGTATGTATGTATGTAGCCACCACTGTACTTAAATTTATACACGTAATACATATGGTCACTAAACGCGAATAGAATAAAGATGCGAGCTCAAAAGTTGACCGCGAAAAAGGACGCATACCAAAAAAAAAAACTTCAGCGAAGAAAGACTCTTAACATAGTTGACGGGTGTAACAGTATGTTTGCGGGTGTAACAGTGTGTGAATTCCCAAAGAGTTGTTGGCGAATGATGCTGTAGTTACAGTCCTTGGCCAAGTATAAATTTATTTCTACGCATCTTTCTTCGTAATATTTTTTTTACGCGTCCTTTTTCGACGTCAAAACACTAGCGCGTATTTATTCGTGTCTAGTGACGATATGCACATACATTTATAAGCTTTATGTAATTTTTCGCCTTTTCTTTATGTGTTCAACAATATAAGGTGTACACCGCTTAAATATTCACAGATACATACATATGTTTTAAGCACATTTAAATAAAACTAAATAAAAGTTTATCATTCGATAATGAAACACAGTATTTTTATTTTAATGGAAGTCCTTTAGACGCAGCTGATGCGGCGATTTTACTGTTAATTCTTTTGGCAGTAAATACGATTTACATATTTTTAAGTTACATTTTATGTTGTTGCAGCTCTGATAGTTTCTTGATGCACAGCTGCTAACGATCAACTGATTAAATATTAGAGAAATTGCATAAATACTAGTTTTTTATTGCATTTGATTTACCAGCGGGGATCAATATATGTACATACATATGTATGTAGAAGTTTGCAACAATTTGTAAAAATTGGTACATATTTACAGAACAAACCCAGTATATAATGGTATATAAGGGTGGTATTATCACTTGCGAAGCAAATGAATTTGGCGAAGCGAATGGTTTGGCGAACGCAACTTAAATATGCATTAAAGTCCAAAATCCTTTAGCAAAGGGTAGACTGGCTCTGATTTTCTCGGCGTTTGTTAGCTATGCTGCAGTGTCTGTAATCTACTTTAGTATCACCGCTCAACAGAAAGTGAAACCTAGAACACCGAATGTCAGATTCAAAGTGAATCTGACCGAAATTCACATGGAAGAAAATTGCAGAACCTGCTTGATTGTCACCATTTTCTTCATCAAACATATCGCACGTTTAATAATAAAGACATGTTATTGAAAATTATCGTTTTTGGAGATTTCATCATGCAATTAATTAATAAGCTTGGTAAGGCAAATAAGTTCAACCTAATAGATGAGGAAACTTCCCAAAAATGGCGAAGATATGTATGTGTCTTTCCATATGTCTCTTGGTATACCAACTGTAGGATTGATCAAACTTTGATTGCATTTTCCCACAAAGTTTAAATTTTGAAAAAATTCTGTATGTTATTATATGTGCGACACCCAAAACCTACTGCTACAAAACATCTGTCTCACCCGTTACAGCGATTACTAGCAAGAGTCGCCTCGAGAGCCCAGAGCAAACAGTCGAGATTTAGGAAAAAAAAGCAGGAAATTCGTTTACATGGACACGATCAAGACATACGGTGGTCGAAAAAATTATAGCCGCACCTCTTTTTGACAAGTCTTAACATTTTATTTTTGTTTTTTTTTTTAATTTTGGTTTTTTTTTTGTATAAAAGTATAGTTCACTAGTTTGCGCTCACCCGCTTCGCTGAGTGTATGAAATGTCTGCGTGTAACAATAGGTGTAATTTATTTCAATTAAACATATTTAACATATTTATTTAAACATAGCCAAAATAGATTTTGACATTTTTTAAACCCCCTTCCAAAATATTTTCAACCTAAAACTTTCTTAAACGTCTTTCGTCTGACACCAATATTGTGATATGTATTTTAATTCTCTACATAATTCCCCTAATTCAAGTTGAATTTAACTTTTCAAGACGGTGGCAATGCTCCTTAATGTAATTAAGAAATAAAACTATTTCAAAACTATTTCGATAAATACCCATATTGTAATAATTTATTTAACTTATTGAATAATTTGGTGGTAGCCCTCTTCAAATGCCAAAAAAATATCTAAATATTTAAGCTAAAGATTGCTTAACCCTCTTTCGTTGATCCTTTTACTTGTGTACAATTTAATTTAATTCGATAATTAATTTCTTAGCAAGATTCTGAGAATGCAGTTTTTAGCTCATTGAATTCTAGTAGAATAAAGTGCAAGATTTAAATTTCTAAAAATTACGGTTGACTTGTTAGAACTGGAACCGAGGACGTACCGACGAGCGATCAATGGCATTCATAGGGAGTCGGTCAGCACCTATCACGGTTGCCGGCCTATGAATGCCATGATCGGAGCCTGTTGAAACTGCCCGTTTCTGGGCCCTCCCGTTAGATGAGCTCGACGACAACGATTGAGGGGCAAACCGAAATAGGTGGGGCTTAGTGATGCCGCTTCAACAACAACAGCAATCGAAAATGGAAATTCAAAACTGCTTTGGGAAAACTCCGGAACAGATCTACCTGCACGGATGATTCTTTTATTATTTGAATTTTTAGTATATCGAGCCCTACCCGCCAAAAGGGGCGTAAGCGACAAAAAGGAAATTTTTCAGCAGGCGTTTTTTTATCAACCATGCAATACCGTATATACTAACGTGAAGGTCAATGGACAAGTTACGTTTGGTGTTGAGGGGGCGAGGTTGCGCTTTGCGCATTCTTAGATATCGTAAGAGCCTTTGACAACACCTCACACGAGGCAGTAGATCAAGCTCTAGAGAAGAGGTGGAGGTGGATCGGAACCATGCTACGGACCAGATTAGCAGATGGTCTGGAACGGCGAGTCTCAACATCAACCCCGCCAAAGCCGCCATCATCCCGTTTACAAAGAGAAGGAACCTCCCAGGTATATACCCTAGAACACTGGGAGGTATAGAGCTAGAAATGTGCAATGAAGTAAAATATCTGGGGCTCATTTTTGACTCCAAAGTTTCATGGAAAAATCACGTTGAGTACGCTGAGGCAACAAAGCGACCTGGAATAAGACAATCTTAGAGAACACCTTCAAGGCCCACATCCAAAGGTGGTTCACAGATGGCTCAAAACCGACAAAGGGATAGAAGGAGGAATATTCGGCCCTAGGGCTGAGATCCCCATTCCCCTGGGTGTGGAAATTCTTCTCTCTGGGGGAAAACACCCCGGCCGGGTCACCAAGGCCTACAGGGAAACGAGGAGGCTGACAGGCTAGCAAGAGAGGCCGCAGCCAGTAGACCCATAAGCCCTGAATCCTCCCTTGCATTGGGACCTCACACCATTTAGGAATAGTTATGAGCGGAAGAGCGAAGGCCAATAAGAGCCTTTGGGAGAACACGCCTGGACTAAGACACAATTTTTTTGCATTAACGAAAACAATTTTGATGATTTAATTTTTTTAACTCATTTACAGGTTTAGAAATAAAAGAGGCTGATGCTTTGGCTTGATACATTTCTAAAAAAACACCCTGAATTCTGCTGAATCGAAGAGCAAGCTCGTTCGACGTGTTGTCCCGGATATAGCGCTTAACCTCAAAAGCAGTAGTCGATCGAGCGAACAAGCTATATCGGCAACGAAAAACCAATATATATGTAGATTATTTCAACGCGACCATTCAAATTTCATTTTAAGACAGTTCTTTTTTTTATCAGCAAATCACAAGTTCGGTATTTGGAAGTTCCTACGCGCATATCTTTGTTTGTTTACCTAAACTTTACAGGGCGGCCAACATTGCCGATCTTAATGAATTGGACTTGCAATTCATAATCGCTTTTGAAAAATATAATGAACTTCTGGTTAATAAATAGACACAAGTATTTTGTTTTTTTATTGCGTGTGACTTGTCGTTTTATTTAAATTTAATAAATCTTTGGTGAACATATAAATTAAAAAAATTTACATTAAACAAAGATAAGGCCTATGTATATACTTGAGTTGTCGTTGCAAAATTGACAAATAAAATAAACTTAAAATATTTCTTTTTACTCAACATATTTGAGTACGGTGTGCATTAGGTACTACAAATGAAATATTATTTAGCGAATAATTACGATAAATTAAAACTGATTGAATGTATGTAGATAAGGCAACATAATCGATTGCATTTCTGTGCAAAATACTTCAAAAATATTTAACATGACCAACGATTGCGGCCTGCTTGATTGTTTCCTGTCTATATTGTTTTGTTTTATAAAAAATTGTAAATTTTATGCCATTGTAAATGTTTTTGTAGAAAAAACACAATGTCCTAAAAATCGTGTATAGGTATGCACTTACATATGTAAAACTTCAACTTAAGCTAATTCATATTTTGCTAAACATACATACATTTGTGTGTATAAAAACGAAATTTTTCAAAATTTATATTTTACAATATTAATTGAAAATATGTATGTACGTATGCAGATTTGCACTTGTGCGCTTATTTAGTAAGATTTGTTGTTTGCTTTATAATTAGAATATTTATTTTTTAAATCTTATAAAATTTAAAAGTATGTGTAAATAGATGCACTTGTATAAATAGTGTTTGTTTACAATGTCAAAAAATTTAATTAATGCGTGGCACTTCTCTCATAAGAAATAACAAATCAATCGGTGTTTTTATGTACGTATGTATGTAAGTGCAGGTATTTCCGTTCAACATTTTTTTGTGCGGCAACAAGTTCATTGCATTTTCTTGTTTATTTTATGTTAAAAGTTTTACCTTCTCTATTTAAAAATAAGTTTTAACATTTTTTTTTTTGTTTCACACGAAAACTGAATCATGCTGCAATAAATTCAGTTGAAGTATGTTCTTCGAAACCGTTAATTGGCTTGTGGAGGTCGTCATACTTAAACTAAAGAAGTATTAACTACTACATATATATAATTGCATCAATACTTTTGTAGATGAACATCATTAATTGAAATAACCTTAACTAAAATTTTAATTAAAAGGTATATGGGTTTACAAGAAACACATGATTGCGCTTGTATGCGTATACTTAATAATTTAGGAAGACCAATAGTTATTATTGAATAATTAGTTAGCTAATACCGATGATATTCGCAAGCGAATATGTTATACTAGTAAACGTGTCAGTTTACAATTTGACTGCTTACGCGTTTCATTGGTACCACGAATATGTCAAATAAAACTTCTACTACTCTCTCTAAACTTTCTACTTAATATCAATCATTGCATTAAAGTACTGCATATATAAATATTGCTGCTATCATCGGTATGCGTGTTCGTATCGTTCTAATAATTGTGTACTCGGCAAAATGCTGGCGATACACTCTTCTCCCCGCCCCGCTTTTCCTAAGCTGCGACAGAAATTTATTCTATCCTCGCAATTTTCGTTATTTTTCTTATTATATTTTTTGGCACTTATTTGTTATTATTGCTGCGGTTACACATCAATTCCTTCAGCTCACGTGCGTATGTCGAACTGACCATTTACTAGTTGCATAATCATATAATCACACATCCACTGTACGCACTCAAATATCAATTTTTTTGTATGGCTTCACTTTCACAGCGTTTATTACTTCTTTACTAATCGTTCTTGTTCATTATTTTAGCAATTTTCCCACTCTCTACTACACCGGAATTATGGAATGTGTTTGCTATTGCGCGAGGGTTTTGGCGGTGGCGTAGGTGGCCGTTTTTCGGCGAGCACGAAATTTCTGGCCTCAACATATTCGTACGCACTGTTTGTAATACTGGTGTGTTGTACGGTAGTAGTGCTGGTGGTGATTGTGCTGGGACTAACTGGAGTCAAAGGGAAACAATTGGGATTCCAATCAATACTGTAGTTAAAACTGCTAAAATCGGTTGAATCGCGAGTTTTGGCTGGTAGTGGGGGTGGTATTAGGTCCTCCTCCGAAGTAGAATCTGTTGTATCTGAAAATTTGGAAGTTAATAATTTGTTTTTATTTTGAACGAACTATTTGTGCAAATAGAAAACTAAACTAAGTATATTGTTCTGCTAACCCGAAAAAGTGCCTTAACAAAGTAAATATTGCAAAAGTTTCCCACAAATTGGAATTTTTTGGAAATATTGATGATTGAGTGTATTTTACTCAGGCATTTTGTTAGGAACTTTATGTAGACCATATCTCACCGAAGTTCATTTATTTTAGGCTCAATTTAGTTCAAATTCGCAACGTACGAGTACTTTAGCTAATACATTCGCTATCGGTACCGCTAGATGGCGCCGACACCGAATAATTCATATTTACTCTACGAATTGATTCAAACTTTGGTTCATCAAACCCGATTTTTTCTTAAAACAAAATGCGTGAGTACCAGGTACTCCTGAAATTCGATGTGTAAACATCTGTGTACGGCTTGGCAAAGCATTAGGCGAATCAGTTTTTCGTGACAAGTTTCAAACTATCTTGAAATGACCTCGAAGTTGTCCTAAAATGACAACAAGTCTTGAAACTATTCCTTACTTGTCCCAAAGAGATCCCGAACTAGTCCCAAATGAAAGGCAGAAAAAAATTAATACGAATAACTTTTTCCCCCGCAATGTTGCAAGGGTTGGAGAGAACTCACATACATTTAATTTCTTTCTTTCGATCATATCCTTTCTATAACTCGTTCTTTCGAAATTTTCACTCACCAACAGAATTACGATTGCTGCTATCCGCACCCGACAATGAATGCGCATCAGTACCGGAGAAACCTTTCATGCCAGTAGTCGGTGTGGCGATGCTGGCAGGGCGTGACAAACGTCGTTCCTTTTCCTTCTCAGAACGCAATGGTCGCTTTGTGGTTAACTGGAAAGATGGAAATAATAAATGCAAATACATCCTATATACATCGGTATCTACTAGTTAATAAAAATATTAACACGCTGTTGCTGAATCCATCGATATCCGTGTTTTGGTGAAATCTACGAAAGTACTATCAATGAATGCGTATACTTACTGCGCTGGATTCAGCATCAGCCCCGCTTAAATAGGATTTTCGTTAGAACAATTCATTCCCCAATTTACCTCTTGCGTCAACACTTTCGGATCTGGTGATTTAGCTGTTAAAGAGGAATTGGAGGCGCTTGTTATTGATGCAATCGATGTAATTGACTCCCGTTCGGGTGTTGCCGTTATTGTTGTCAGTGGTGACATATACCACTGACTATTGGCAACTGGTAGGCTCAGCGTTTCACGATCCAACTAAGACATAAATAAAAATATACATAATTAAGCATAACCGATTTGTAAGCAATATAAACCACCAAGCGAGGCAACAAAAATCACAAACCTTTTTCATTGAGCGCCGTTTTGAGGGCGTTTTCTCTTTAGACTTGCTTTTTGTGCTGGGCGAATGGCCGAGGCTAGGTCTGTTGAAGTTGTTGTGGTTGTTGTTGTTGTTGTTGAGGTACGAGATAGAAATAGAAACGAAAGGCGAACAATGCAAAAATAAGCAAAAACAAATAGAAAATAAGGGAAACAAATAAAAAGTCACAAAATCGGCAAACTATGATATAATAAAACCAAATCAACAACAGAAGAGAGTAACAAACCCCCTCAATTCAAAATGGTAAAGCTTAAAAAGATTTTAAAGCAAACTAAAATATAAAAATTAATTTAATTTAATCAGATTTTCAAACTAAAAATGCAGAGCGTAAAGAACGAGGAGTGGAAATTGACATTTAATTGATTAGTAAACAGTTTATTCAAGGGTGATTATTTGTTGGTAGATTTTACGATAAAAAATATGTATGTTGCGTGCTTGGTTGGATTAGATGTGCTAAGTGTTATATGTACTCAATGTCTTATATCGAATATTGCAACTCAATTATTTTTTAGTAGACGTTACCTGGGGTTGAAATTGAAACTCGCGAATGTTGATTTTATCGAACTGGTTTGTGGACGTGTCGAGGAAGTAGATTTCGACAAGCCGCTACTGCGTATGGAAATACAACGAGTACAGTGTGAATAAATGCATACTTCGAAATTGATAACAAACTAATGGCGTATACTTACTCTGACGAGCCCATGCTCGTTTCCGATAAGCGATTATTGCCCTCGAACATGCCAGGTAGGAAGGAGCCATTGCGACGCATAATCACCGACTCGCGATCTAGCTTCAAGTCACAGGTCTACATAGACGAATAATTTGATCTTAGTTCTTAAAATATATCGCATATTCGTTAGGATGTAATTTACCTTCTTGCCATATTTGTTTTCTACACTCGCCTGCATATCAGCGAAGCATTGCTCCATACGTTCATGGAAGAGTTTTAAGCTTTCGGGGGCCTTGTGTTTGTGCAATGTTATGGCTGCAGGGAAGTAAATGAATTGTTAAATGTACATAATTTTATTTACTAAAGACAAGAAGATTTAATATACCAATTTCGAGTAGTGGTATCTGCGAGGCGATTAAGTCTTTTAATTCCTCCACTAGATGTTTCTCCTCGGGGTGTTCATCCAAATAATCAGATGTCAAGAAGGCATCCTCATACTTGTTAAAGCCACCCATGACTGCTGGGTCGACAATGCCATTGATTTTCATGCTAAGCGGATTTATGGCCAATGTTTCATCATTCCTGTGCTCAATAATCAGGTCGCGTATATCCTTATTGGTCTTCTTCATTGTTTCAATAGCCAAAGCGAGGGGTGATATCTGAATGATTAAAAAGTTGCTTGGTATAGGTTCGAGTGGATCAAACAACGTATACACGTTAATTCAATCGCCGATATGACACAGAAGAGGAAGTTTATTAAAAAATATATTTACACATTCGTTTCACACTCATGGATATCTATCGACTATACTACATAGAGTACTTAGTAATCATTTAATAAATTCTGATCGACATCATTGAAATTTACATTAATTTGCCCTTACCTTGAATTTTTTCGTGTCTGCAAGTGGAAACCAGCGCAATATGCCTGGCAGCGGATAACTTGTGGTCATCACTGTTCTTTCCAACCAGAGGCTACGCACATCATCCACGCCACAGCCGTTGCTTTCGCGATAGGGACGTGAGAATTGGAATTTTTGCACATTATTCGATGTAAAATAGTTGACAATTTTGCTTGATACCATCTTTCCTTCGAATTTTATGAAATTCTCATTCATCAGCGGCTCCACCTTATTCACTTGTATGAATTGACCGTCCGCTTGTGTGATATCCTCACCTGGCGCCTCTAGAGTCTGCATGAGTTCTGCTTGTGGATGCTGCACCAAAATGCGCGAACAGAAGTCACTCAAACGCTCATATTCCTCACCCCGAAATATGAATGCCTTATTTTGGAGGAAACGTGGAAAGCCCAGACCATAGAAGCAAACACGGAAATATTCTGATGTGTGGCGCAGCTCATTCAATATTTTCTCATAGAACTGAGCCATCTTTGCTAGCATTTTCGCCAATTTCAAATAGTCATAGATCTCATTCTCATATTCTTGTGCCAGCACTTTGCACATATCGATGGCACACTCGAACATGTGTCCCCTATCGAAGTAGTCTATGATTTCATAGTAGAGCGCCTCTTTGAGTTCGCGATGCGTGCGACACGCCATATGCCGATGGGAGCGCAAGAGGGGCGACAATTCTGTGTCGTTCCATTGCAACAACTCTGTGTGCAGTTTCAGTGTGAAAGCGGCCTCAGTGTAGTTGTTGAACTCCATATGCAGGTCGCAAAGCTTGTACACGTATCGTATGTACATCTCTTTGCGATTCACCTGCGAGTAGAATTGCAGCAGCGAGAATGTACAAGCCATGCGATTCTCCTTGCTCTCGTCCTGTATGATGCAGCGATACTCGAGTAGGCGTTCAATAAGCTTTGTCACCATATTCACAAATTTTGTGCCCTCGATATTAAGTATATTGTGCGCCTGACACTTCTCCATCATAATGCATTGAAAGAGGTCCTTGTAGTCGGCGTCTCCTTTGCCTGGTAATAACATTAGAATTATTAGAAAAAAAAAAAAATGCAAAAAACAATACGACCAAATTCAGTTTTGAACGCGAATCACTTACCTGCACCAATCAGTATATCCAATTTTTCGATCATTTCCGTTTCGAATTCGTTAAAGTTCGCCTTGTAATGCAAATGATTGCGCTTCGTATCGCCATAGCTGTTGGGCAGCATTTTCGAGCTATAATACTCACACTGCATCATATCGAAAAAGATGGGTATGGTCGCTTTACGCAGCTCCACCTCTGGTATCATGCTCATTTCGAGTATCGGCTCAACCAGCTGGGGTACGAATTTCGGCTTGTGCTCGCCCAACTGGAACCACATCTTACGTATCTCCTGCGCGGTGTCCTTGCGTATGTCGCGGTACCGAGCGAAGATGACTTGCCGTTTGTTGTCATTGAAGTCGTTTAACTGCAACGGCGACTGGATAAGGAATGCTATGGAGCACTGGAAGAAATTCGACCACACTTGCTTCTCGAAGGGATCGAAAAAGTGATCGATGATGACTACGGAAATGTGTTGCAACGAGCGCAGTATAACCGTATTTTGGTGCATTATCATATCCATCCAATCGCGTGAGAAAACGGGCTTCTGATGTGGCGATACGAGTTCTTCGAATACTAAAAGTATTTCAATGATGAAATCTTGCAGCTCAAAACGATTGTTCAGATGCTTAACGAAGATATCGTAGTGTGCGGCATCCATGCGCTGCAGGATGCCCAACATGATGGCCACCAGATTGCCGACTAGTTGGTTTTCGCGATCGAGTGCGTGTGAAGTCTTGATGATGGTGCGCAGTAGAATAAGCATTATGTCACGCACATCGTTGTGCGTCTTGCCAATGTCCTTGCGGTACAAAAGGCGTAGAATATTGTTCATTATGATAATACATTCGTTGACCTGTTGCAAGAGGGAAGAGTGTGAGACCAAGAAAAAACGAATGGATTAGATGAAAAAAAAAAACAAAGGAAGGTCTTATTTTAGGTGCATTGATCGGTGACCTTTAACAGCGATCTAAAACCAATCTATAGCCGCTAACTCTTATTCCCTGATTGAGCATCATTTTTTCTTAATCAAATACATAGTATGTAGGGACGTTTACGCAGTTCATTTTCAGTGACATATTTTTGGATATCGCATATATTATGGTCATTTTCGTCAACAAGCAAATTTATTATGAAAAATGAAAAGTTTTAGAATAAAAATGTATCAATACATCCTAAAACCCTTTGAGCAAAGATAGCAGGAATGTTGAGATTTTAATCAACAAAAAAAAAAAAACAGTTTCGATAAAAAAATTGATACATTAAACTAAAGAACTAAGCAATCGCTTTTTCGGTTCTCGATTTATTGAAATAAATTTAAGAAAAAGGTCTGACATTTTAAGAAAAGGCAATTGCTTGGGTCTTATTCACAAAGCCCAATGACTATTTTTATTAACGTAAGTTTTAATGTCCAACATTGTCAAAAAACTTTGTCATTTAACGTCTACTGGAAATTCAGCATGAGTCCAAGGCGAATTCATATAAGGTGGTATCAATTCAACAAATACAACAATTACTTGTATTTTGTTTTTGCTTTTAGCTGGTGATTGTATTTTCTGTCGCCCTTTTTCATTCGGAGAAGAATAGCTGAAATTTGACAATCACTCTCACGTTTTCCCTCACTCACTAGCAAAATATAAAAATTTGACAATCAAACGCTACACACAGCTGATTAAACAACACCACCTTATATAAATTCGCCTTGCATGAGTCTTTATTCAGATGTCATTTTAAATGCCATTTTTTGTTTGCTATTTCTTTTCTTGGTAGAAATTAGCCAAATACAGAACTTTATTCAAATATGAGTTTGAATAAAGGTCTGATCTCGAATTTTGGAAAGAAGGCAAGCACATGTGGAAAAGGAGTCTTGAGGTTTTTATGTTGATAAGAATGAAATTTCGATCAATATTACTTCTACTACTACTACTTAAAAAAAGGTCTGAAACGAACTCGACTGTTAGTTACATGATTTGGCAACATGGATCCTAATCATAAGTGATAGGCTTTCGGCCTTTCAACTGCGAGATTAAATCATGTCTAGCTCTTGATTGCATGGAGTAACCTTAATCCTCTACAATGACATCAAACTATTGTGAATACCAGGTCATATCGGAATGGAGGAAAACGAAGTACCTGACAAATTAGAGGCCACTATTACAACGGGTCTTGAGCCTTCAATAGCGGAGAGCCCAAATAGAGAAAGCTACTAAGAGTAAATCTCAAGCAAAGCTCATAAGAGCTCCGCCAGCGTTCCCAAGACAGTCGGGTCTACATAACCGGAACGACCCAGATTTATATCTGGCCACTCCAGCAACACTCCCCAAAAAGTCTTTGGGGAATTTGTATGCTGCTACAACAACAACAACAACAGAGCTCCGGCAGATACAGGGCCTAGTGGGAGGATATAGTATTAGGATATTTCCACTCCCAGTCAGTTTAAAGAAAAAATTTTACTTACAGCCCCATTCGATCATCCCCGAACAATCTTTGTCGCTTTTGTGATTTGCTCGAAGACACACCATCGGCCTTTCACGCTGAATGTGATGCCGTTTCTATCGCTAAATGAGCATTGTAACATTGAAGAAGCTTTTTCACTCCATCCGAACCGAAATAGCGATGCGCCAAACACAACCATAGTTTAGTTTAAAAAAAGTAAGGGGAAATGTCAACAAAGAATTGGGAGAAATTACTTGAGTTTATACTGTGAAATACCCGGAAAGAATTTTTATGGATTACAAGCGTGTATCAATCGTTCGTTGGTCAAATGGAATTTATATCTGAAAAAATTGTCACATTTTAACAACCTTAGAAATAATCGTATAATTTTTTTATTTGAAATTCCTTCTTTTTATTTATGTTTTTTCCCTAAATATGATTTAATTACATATTTACTTTTAAGGTAGCAATCAGAGGCTAAACCGGTCATAAGATTTATAGATATTCGGATACGTGTGGCATTAAGCATAGATCGGCTTAATTTGAAAAAAATTTAGCTTTTTATTCTATTGACTGCATAACGAATGTGTATTGATATTTCGAGTTGCAACGAAATGACAAGAAACAAACTTAATGACAGCTTTTATTGCAAGTAAAACTTTTGCCATTTAATTCGAAGTGGAAATCCGGCATTATGGAAGTTCTAGTAAATATTGAGTTAAAAGTCTTGATTTCTTGAAAAAATAAATTACTAAAATAGTCGTTGCCCAAATGAAAGTTAAGCGCAATTACCAGGTAAGCCTAAAATTAACTAAATCAAATTACATACATACGTATAAATATATAAGCAAAGCTTAAACGAAAAGCCAAGAGCAGAAAGTATAGAATGTATCATATATTTATGTAAACGATGTTTGCTGATTGTATTTGCGAGTATATGCAAATATTTCTGAAGAACTAAGTATTGAAGTAAATTAAGCAGTGATTACCAGGGTTGCTTCTCAGGTGTTGAAAATTTTTAAAACGAAAGCGACAATGTCAAATCTGACAGATGTTACAATATTTCATACTTAAGTAGTAACCCGTGTACTCTCTGTTCCCCAAAATAAGCAAGTAGTATAAGAATATAGCTTAAAAAGCAAAACAATAAAACATATCCTGCCCAGGCTTTACATTTTACAAATAAATACCAAACTCTACATACAATGTTTTCTGTGTACGTCTGGAAGCGTTGTGGCAACAAATGAACAAACGAACTGACATAAACCTAACTATATCTGTGCCCGTCAATTAAAGCGCTATTTCATAGGGTTCTCAAACAATATTTTAACGATTAACTAGCCACAGGTGTAGTTTAAGTTGCACCTAATAGAATCTTAATAAAAATATAAAATTTTGCAAGGGAAACTTATAATTTTTTTAATTTATGGTCAAACCTGCTTAGTAAGACAAGCTACTTTAATTAACAGGCTTAGATATTTCGTTGCGAAGTACCCTACCAGAACATATTAAGTCGAAAATTTCCAACACGAACATTGCCAGTAAAAAAATTAGATCATCCAAATATTAATTTTAGATCGCTTATTCGCGTGCAATGGATTACTACACAAATCTCCGATCCATCTGCATTTTACACTCCTTTTTAACAATGCATGTCCTTACGGGCGAGACGCACTCCTTTTGAGCTCCTAACGGAAGACAGAACGGAAATATTCTTTTGAGCCTTTTTGACCTACGAAACGAAAACAAAGGAAGTCATCTTCCTATATTCGTCAACTCGTTTAATACTTCAAAACGGATTCAATAAGTATGGAATAATACAATTTTCGGAGAAAAAAAAATGCCTCGCTTAACGCGGCGCCAAATGGTTGAACAAGTTATTTATTACTCCTTTATTGTTCGATTTTGGTATTAATCCATACATTTTTACACTCGGTTAGAAGAGTAGAGAAATTCACACGTACATTAAAATGCACAATAGTATACGGTATCATTTTTACGAGGTAAAATACCCATAAATAATGGGTATTACTCTGGTATTTACCCAGTCTGTTCTGGTAGGGGTACCAACAGATCAAAGTGTTTTTTTTTTTTAATACATGTAGATGTGGGATGTATGTATGTATTACAAAACAAAAGCAAACCGAATTGAGGCATCCCCACTGGAAAATTACAACAAAAAAAACCCCCCATACATTCACCTCACCCATCGCGCTTGCTGTGTTACATACGTTTGCTGCTTCCTAATCCATTTGTGCGAAAATACAAGTAACACGTAGTACATACATACGCCTTTACGTGCTCAAATTATAATTTTGTAATCTTTTTTCTATTTGTATTTATTGCGGCTGTAGTAAGTTTATTATTTTTACCTTTTGTTTGGCAGTTGTTTCACGTGTGTGCAGGTGTGATTTTAATTGTCCGAGGACTTTTGCTGCTTTCGAGAGATTCTTTTCTTGTTGCCATATATCGGATTTCGAGTCGCCCTAGACAATTTGATACACAAAACGTTTTGCAAAAAGCGAATACACAAAGTGTTTCAAATACATAGATTAACGAATGAACACGTTACAGGTAAACACAAAATATGTATGGATGTAAGTATGTAGTTGTGTGCATGTATGTTTGTATGTATGTATGTAAATCAGTAACTGCTGTGCTGATGTACACCATGGCACTCACATACATATATTGTCTTGCAAGCGGAAATTAGTGAAGTTAAAACCAAAAAAAAAATATATAAATAATAATAATAATTAGAAAAAGTAATTTGAAGTATGTACCCACAACTAAAATTATGTAATTATATGGGGTGAATTTTGTGCGCATTCAAATTAAGAGATGATTATTATCATTATGTTTTGTTGCATGTAAAAAAGATAATTGCAAAAAAAAAAAAAATTAAAAAAAAATTATCTAGTTACTAGAAGATTTAAAAACAAAAATGTATAAATGCATATATTGCACTCCGTAAATTAAAGAAACTATACCCAAGTTTTATGTATTAATTTTATGAGTTTTAAGTATGCAAATGAGAAGTGGTGAAATTGCTGATGATTTCGATATGCAGTGATGTATTTGATGTTTGTGGGTGGTGGTGACAAAGGTGCAACTGTAATTTACAACATACATGTATAGTATATGTATCTATAGGTGATTTTGCCAAAGCAAACTGTACCGCGTGCACAACAACTACACCAAATAATTTATATAACTAAAGAGAGATAATAAAAACATATAACACCCGAAACAAAACCACCTCAAAAACTAAGGAGAAAACACAAACTGAATGACAAAAAACTAAGATATATCTACAAATACATACCTAACACGAAAAAGGCTTAGTGGATCTTGAAACGTTTGTTGAACAGGAAAAAAATTATTTGATATTTCAAATCTTGCAATTTTATATTTTTAACGGCATCCTTTGGAGATTAAAAAAAAAGTGGAAATCGCTACAAAGAAAATCTAAATCTAAGCTTTAGATCACCTTGCATTTAGATAACAATGACCAAGCTGCTATTAGTTCTGAAAATATTCGATTTCTCACCAAATCTAACAAAAATTCATAACCGGGGGCCATACCCCTATCTGCATATGAACATCGACTAGCGAATGGTAGATGGAAAAGGGAGCACATATACAAGTGGGATGACAAGAAAAATCTGGACTGCTTTCAATTTAAATATAATAGATCTGACTTTGATCTCAATTCATAACCTTATATGGAAACGCACCCTAATAAGCGAATGCGCTATCCTAGAGCTGAAAGGACGAGGAAGAGAAGAACCGTTCCCACGACAGTCGGGTCTACGTAACCGGAACGACCCAGATTTATATCTGGCCAAGGACTGTCACTCCAGCAACACTCCCCAAAAAGTCTTTGGGGAATTTGTATGCTGCTACAACAACAACAACAGGAAGAGAAGAAGAGTCTCAAGCTTTTCTCTCTCAGTGCCTTGCTCCAGCCTCCATAATTTTTTTTATTTTATTTTTACTTTTTAATAATATCTGTGGACATATGACAAAACAACCTCTTTCAAAATTACACATTTTTCAGGAGAGCAAAAAAACATATTAAATGCTCTCCATAGCATAAGATTCTTACAATTAAGGAAACATTTTTGTTAAAACTGGACACGTATCAATAAACAAGCATTTTTCAATAAATTTTATTTATTTTAAATATATAAATTAGTCAAATTCAGTCAAATGCTCTTTCAAACAAAAAATCATCTTATCCCATGCAAGTTATTTAGTCAAATTGAGTTTAAGTAAAATAGTAAATGGGGTTTTGCCTTGGCTCAATACAAGTTTATTTGAGAAAGCAACTTTTTTAAAATATGCATTTGGCAAATTAAATGCAAATCGCCGAAATTGCACAGACGATAAATAGAGACAAGTTCTTTTGCTATAACTTTTCCGTTTGAAATTTATTTAAATTCCAACGTATTCGAAAGAAGATCTTTTGTCAAATGCAATTTCGAAAAAATGAGAAAGAAATTCATTATAGGATATATTAAAGGTCATATTAATATGGCGGTAGGACAGAAATACGCGCATTGATAATTCATGCATACGATAGAAATCTTGGAAAATGGTCTTATCTCGAGAGAAATATCCGCAGATATGTACATACCTATGTACGACCGAATTTCAATTAGAATGGCAATGGCGTTATGGAATTGGCAAAGGTTGAACCGTTTAGTCGGCATCGATATCGGCTAGTATCGGCACAAATATTCGACATCGGCATCGCCCTATTTTGGCCGATTATTTGAGCTTTCTTTTCACCATGTATAGTACTTTATTCAGGTGAATTCTCTGTTTTAGCCTCAAATTTTATCTGCTATAAAAGTGAAGAAATTATTATATTTCAGCACTGGCAGCTGATTTTATTAGCAGCGGCATCGGCAAACTTAAAAATAATCTATTCCCGTCGAATTTCATAAGACGAACTTCGTCGTCGATTTGATTGTGTGCAATCGCGTATACTTCAGTGTGTTGTAATTTTGACAGGACAGCGTACTTTTTTCCGACGAAGTTCCCCCGTCAGCGAATTTATTTTGTTGATACTTATACTCTGAGAAAACTATGTAATTTCGACTATTGATATAAAAACGTAGCTTATAAAAAAAAGAGTAAGAACAGAACCGCATGACCAATCGGTTGGAATTTGACCAGCCTTCTGAGACCGAATTACTGATCAGAAAAGGGTTGGCTTGTGAAAATAATTTACTATTTGTTCCTTTTAGTAGTGAAATGGAGGATTTTTCGCACTATTTCCTCCTTTTAGTAGCAGAATGATACACTTTAGCTGCAGATGCGTGCAAAGGAGTAAAATAAACTTATTGCGAGCAATCCTTGCCCTGTTTGCTTTTAGAATGAAGAATAACATGCATTTAACAAAAATTTGGCAAAAATCTCAGAGGAAAGAAGAAAGTTTTGTAAAATATTTGAAATTTTGTAAAATAAAAAAACCCGGACTTTTACAGCCGCATTCAAGAGTCGTTTAATGAATACTTAAGGCGTTCCTCAGTAACGATTTGAAAACATTCCCTCTCAGAGTCAGTTAATGATTCGTTAACGGTATTTAATGAACATTACAGTAAAGCAAAGAAAATTTTAAATTTCGCTAACGTTGCTGTAACGCTCGCAATGGCCCAGTGTTCAGAGCACTGGCGAGTGATCTGAGTTCAATTCGCGGCAACGGATTTTTTTTAAATATTTTTTTTTTTTAATTCTTAACTTTTATTGTTAAAAAATAAATATTTTTTAATTTCATTTAATATTTAGAAACTTTTTTTAATTAATTTTTTTCTTTTTAATTCTCTCAATTATTTAGCTTTTATTGTTTTAAAAAAATATTTTTTTAATTTCGTTAAGTTTTTAGAAAACTTATTGCCAGATAAATAGAATAACGCTAAGGCCTCCTCATTAGTATATCTTTCAATTCTTCATTCGAAATACAGAAAGAGCTTTCAAGATAGTTGCTGGAATAGAAACGACTTTCGTCTTTCGAAAGACTGATGCCTAATATATACCGAACAATAAACAGCGAATTATAAGTTCAAGTAGTAAATCCTCAACAGTTTAGTTATTTATTAAAACGAGCTCCTAATTGCATGATGGCAAGCGCGAGGAAATTCAGATCGCAACTCGATGTTACACATCCTATCATACGGATGGAGGCAGGCTTCGAAACTTATTTTATTTTAAATACTAAACCCAAATCTTAAAACACACAAAAATAAATACGGTAAATGTGGGTTGCTGCATTTAAGCAGTGTTTACAGTATTTGTATTTAGTTCGTTATATGGGGCCGTTAAACATGCGTGAAATGTGTAATAAAATGTACACAAATATTATTTACCAGCTTCTATTAATAAACCACCCCCTCAATGTCTGTACATACAAATGCATATATTTTCGTACGTTAAATCGCCGACCTGGGCTAGGTGCGTACTAACAAAAAAACACACGTCACAGTGAAGTCTAATTACAATATTGCACAGTTGTGAAACAACTACTAAACATTTATGTATACGTTTTTAACATTTTAAAGTTTTAAAGTATGTGTTTAAAAGTAAATTTGCAAACCAAACATTCGTTTTTTATAAGAAAAAAGAAAATGTTTTAAAAATTAGTGCAATCATGCTAATCGAAAATGCATAAAATAAACTAAAAATATGTTGCACAAAACAGGCACAAACACACGGACGTAGTATAAACACAGAACATGCTTAATTAGTAAAATACGTTTGGCTATACGATTTCTGTGCCGTAAAGATTAAGTGGCTTTAAATCGCACTATTTTTGTGATATCTACAACAATAAACATTTACATATTGAGTAAGTAATTTTCAAACACATATTTAAGGCTTGCATTTATCGATCGGCTAACATAAAATATTTAACTCTTGCAAATGTACAACATTGCAGCCTCAAGTAACCGTTAAAAGAGAACAGTGATGTATAGTAACGATGAAGTTGATATTAAATCGCTTTGTCGTAATAGTTTCAAAGTTTAGCTCAAATAGGTTTAGTTACAAATTGAATGGAATTTAAATGTATGTATGCAGTATATAAGTAAATTTAATAAGTTCAATAGTATTTATGCAAGAAAAAAAAGGTTGTAAACGCTTTATTTAGAGATGAAACACAAAGAGTAAGTAAAGTTAAAATTAACAGCCAAAATGAGTTATGTATGCAAAACAACTTGAGCAAGTCAATGTTATAATTTGCGTATGCGGTAAGTATTATTCATAAATCAGTTTGAAAACAAATGTAACGAAACACAAAAATAATTATGAGGGAATAGAAACTAAATATGAAGGTAAATACCTCTTCTTTGCTCTCAATGCGGTCCTTAATGTGATTGCAAAAGACGGGTAGCAGAACGGCGCGACAATCGGGCGAAAGGAACAATTTGGAATCCACAAAGTCCTTGATGCAACCCATTTTCGACTGGGTCAAGCGGCGTGGCGGAAACTGACGCAAAATATTGACAATCACATTGCTAGATGTGAAAGCAGCGAAACAGAAACAGAAATATTTGAGAAATTATAGAACTCATAACGTCTTTCAGATTGCATACAGACCTTAAGCGCACCTCGTCGAATACCATCATTAAATCAGTGGCAATGATGTGCAAGTTTTTCAGCAGCGCTCCCTCAGATTTTAACAAATCCGTGGGGCAGGCAATCATTTTTATGAACATCTCCAGTAGTTCTAGAGGCAGCAAGGAAGTTAGCATTTAATTACTTAAGTGTAAACTAAATAATTAGAGCAGCAACACTCACCATGCAGTTTATTTGCAAAATCATCGTAATCCGAGTTGCCGTTGATCGCCGCGAAGAGCACACGTGAACGTATGACGAATTTCATAACATAATGCAAATATCTGGTGGTCTTGTAAAGCCGTTTCACCTCCACGCGCTCCTCAATTTCAATACCATCTGCAGACTTTTCAATGGGCTCAATGGCTTCTCTGATATTACGTTGCAGCACATCAATTAGTTTGCTGTGCGTAAAGTAAGAGGAAAAGTGTTAGTACAAAATAATTACCGTTAAATTAAGAACACCTTTTTGCAATAAAAAAATGTGCAATACTTACTCATAGGCCAGCGTCGCTGAAAAGCTCTCATTTATGTACACATCCAAAACGGTGAGAAAATGTTGATATTTTAGATCGGATACTGTCTCAATAAGATGTATAATACTCATGAAAACCAGCTGATCGTAACGTGCAGGATCGTCATTTTCAACCTACGCAGATGCACATTGCAATAAAATAAGGTGTACAAAAATTTAAAACACGCTTTACCAAAATGTTGAATAAGGCATCGAGTATGTCTTGCAGAAATTTCACCACCTCCTCGCCGGGCACATTTGATAAGGCGTTCAGTGACTCCTCCAGCGTTTCTTTGTGCGCCGACCAATTGAGCAAACCAAGTAGACTCACTGAAACACAGAAATGTCACTGAAATATAGTACCTAAACACCATTTACGTATCTATCAAAGTACTCACCGCTTTGTGTCAATTTCGTGCTGCATAGATTAACGCAAATTGCCAGCTGATCTTTGGGCAGCAAGGCTAGACCGCCCAGCGACGGCTTGGTGCCCAGCAATTCACCAAGCGTTGAGGGTAAGTCCATGTAAATATTGGCGTTATTCTTATCATACTTTTTGTGATCGATCTTGTACACAGCCAGATTGTGTTGTCCTTGCTGAAGGCATAACAAAAACATTCATAGCAGAAATTAAAACGCACTCATAGTGTGTGCTGCTGACTTACCAATATCGTCGTGCCATTGTCCTGCATTAATTTCACATACGACAGCCCGAATGGCTTCTCGGATTTGTCCTTTTGCTCGTTGGAGCTTCGATGTTTGAAGAGGAATTTCAAATGACACTGCTTGAATTCGTCAATAGGCACATGTATCTGCGATAAGAAAAAAAAAATAGATATTAATAAACAAACACTTCAAGTGGATGCGCGCTTCTTTCTACCTTGAATGTTTCCAGCCACTTGGGCTTATCGTCGTGATAGTACACCACCGACTTGTACTCGTCAATGGGTGGATGTCCCGCGCCAATGCTCATCACGCCAGGCACAACCTGCCCCTGTTCATTGCACACATACACCGTCACTTCGACATTCTTCTCCGAGGTCTTCGCAATGCGCGCGAATTCCCCACCGCATATTGTTAAATACAGATCATTGCGCACATCGCCAGGTAATATAACCTCGGGAAAGCCCATTTTGCGCGCCAGCGGCACATTTGTGTGCAGTAGTCGCGGAAAATCCTCCTTAATTTGCTTGATGTCGCCCTGCAACACCTCAATGGTAACCGCCATTTTGGAGTCGATCTTGCCAATATCCTTGTTGGCGATCAGCTTGCGCAGCGTCCCATCCAGCGTATCCTTCTCGCACAGCATAAACGGCAAATCCAAATTGCCACGAAAATCCTCCGGTTTATGCAGTATCGGTGTGAGATCTTTGCAGGCGACACCAAATGGACGCCGCATTATGTACTCAGTGTTGTTGAACGAGCCACTCGAACTTATCGAAAGTTGCGAGTGTTTCTTGCTTGAGGGTGTCAACATGGCAGTGGTTATGCTGGCGCGCTTCGAATCGTTCTCCTTCATTTCCATGGCACCTATGCGTATCGCATAGCAGACGAGGTACATTTTCGAGATACTCAGATCGTTTTTGCTGAGATCTGTGAATAGTACGCGATTATTGTCGAATTGATCGATGTCGCGTGCGATGCCCGTACGCGACCATTTCACAACATAATTTTCGCTTATCGGCTTATGTGATTCGCCGTCGAATAGTGTGAAGAGGAGGTCTGAGTCCTCTTGGAACTTGCAGACGAATGCGTTTACATGCAGCAGGATATTGTGCGAGTATTTGTTGAGGGGACGCGGGGAACGTTGAATAGTTTGCGGGCGCTATAAAACAAAATGTAGAAAAATAAATTTACTGATAATACAGAAACTAGTTATGAAAGTTATTACATATGTACGCATTTATATACATATATTTAAAAGTAAGAAAAAGCAAAAGTTTTTGAGTTACATATCTGAAATTCAAACTCAAAGTGAAAGCTAGTTAACCTCACTTAGTTCAAAGTCGGAGCAGAAAATAAATCAATCAGCTTAATTGATTTCAGAATATACACATATGTATGTATGTACATATAAATTTACAATAGGGTGCCTCACCATATTATATTTCAAGACCGCCACCAAAATATTTCGGAAAAATATTAAGATTCACAGACAGATCTAATTATTTTGATTCCGTTGTTGAGATAAACGAAAATTTTTTATGCAGACCATTTACGCTTAAATTTTTCGACCATATAATGTATGTTTTTTAAATATTTTTAAAAACCGATTTTATTTATAAAACAAAAGAGATTTTTGCATATGTTTTCAAATGGATTTAGCACGTAAACCTTAATATTTTTCCGAAATCTTTTGGCGGAAGTCGCAGTGAGCTCGATGAAGAAGTCTGACGAGAAGACGTGTTGATCTGCGGAATAGTAGCTATAAATTCCACTACGTATAAACTAGTGTAGTTTTTTCACATAATAATAAAAAAAAGCGACCTCAAAATCGTTAAAAATTGTTAAATGGCAGTGTTAAATAAATTTTATGAGTCCGATAGAAAAACAGTGCCGATTACAAAAAAAAGCGCGCGATTTCAAAAAAAGTAACAAAAAATTTGCCCAACCAGGCGATTGCCTTTTCGCATTATTCCGTGACACCTACATTCGGCAAAATTTTTATTTGCAAAAGTTTACTGATTTACTCATATAAAAATTTAAGATAACCGTTAATTTTTTTATGATCCAATGATCGGATCTAAACCACCTGTGAGACACAACCTTTCCGATAGAAAAAGAAATATCGAAATCGGTTGACGTGGTCTAAAGTTATGTGGTAACATACACATATAAATCATTTTGGAGCTCGTTTGATAAGAGAAGATAAGAATTGAGGCTCATATAAGTCAACCTTCGCAGAAAGGGAAACAACTTCATTTTGTGCTCTCCAATGAACTCATTATAAGGATAAGCCTTCCAGCACATATGACTCGAAATGTTTGCTGAGCTCTTAAACCGTACATACATAAGTTTCGTTTAGGGCCAGCTCTTCAGTTTAAACGCCCGATCTAGCTGATTTAAACTATGTAAGATCAGCCAATCAAATGTCAGCCAGCTGTTCAGTTTAAACTCAGTTTACATAACCAAATGAAAATTTTATGCAAATAATTTAAACAATAAATACCACAACAAATTCATGCTAAATAATCATGTTTAACTATGCATTTTTTTAAGTAAATGTGTCAGTATGAAACCTACATTCGCTTTAATAATGCGGTTCACCGCATTCATATGATGCTCATACAATTCTGTTGTGCATATCGTATTTGTATCCAGTATGTCGCCATTCTCGTCGCGCACCACCATATCCAAGCCCAACAGACTGTTTCCTGTGTCGATTTGCGATGTGGCCATCAGCTTCACTTTTCGCATCTCGTCAAGTGGCAAATTTCCCGATATGAGCAATGCGCGATTATTATTTAACTCGCTCATTTTTGTGCGTATAGAATTGAAGTCGCGATGAGTGACCTGCAAAAAAGACGAAGAGAACAAAAAACCGAAAACAAGAGTTTACAACAGTCATAAGGTGATAAGTGTAGAAAAGTGGTTAGGCGCTAAATTGTCACATTTCATGCGAATGAACAAATGATGAGTGAATGAATGCATGAGTGTTGTGCAAAATTTTAGCGATTAAATTTAAATAACTAAAAATAAAAAATCGTTCAGCATTGTCAGCGCTGGCAGGGAGCGTCGCAGATGTTTTGCTCGTCGTTGATGACGTTACTGCTGGCGACATTCTTTAAGTTGGGGTCAATTCAATTTACTTATGTTTTAAATGCTCTCCAACGCGAGCTGTGTTATTGTTGCACTCACCAAAAAATACTGCTTCAATATGGAACCCCACTCCAATAGAACTTTGGTGATTTCCTCAACGATCTCCGTACGCTTGATACAGTACTCGCCGTTGATGATTGTGTAATCGCACAAATGTATGTAGGATTTCGGAAATATGCCGCGCTGATCTTTATGTCTGCAATAATTATAGAAACAACAAAAAAATTATAAGAAACCATAAAAAAAATACCAACACATGAGAAATTAAAAATATTTGCCTTAATAAAAATGGACAGAATTAATAAATAAAGACGAGCTTTGCAGTTTATGACCACACATATGTATGTATGTATGTATGCATGTATGTATGTACATTCATATGACATAAATGTGACGCAATTGTTGATGGATTGTTGTACAAAAAAATAAAAATAATTAAAAACAATAACAATAACCAACTAAATTATTAACCACAACAAAAAAAAAAGCCTGCTGGCAAGCGACAAATATGGGCACACATTCTATGCAATTGAGTACCAACAGATGGCGCACACTGGGGCAGTACACCCCCTAAAAAAAAATTGATGTGAGCCAAAATAGCCAAAATAAAAATTTATAAATAATAGGAAATAATAGGAAGTTTAATAAATAAATATTTTGTTTAGGCTCCAAGCACGCCAAATCTATGCTTGTTATCTACAAATAATCTCTATTGTATTGGGTCTTACAAACAATTTATATTTTTCTGCTAGTGTTTGCTACTTTACGATACACATAAAATAGTTTTTGATACTTAACTTGCATTTTTAGTACTTGACTTACTTTTATTGGAATTATTTATTTATTTTGTTTTAGGAACGTCCTCAAATACATTATTTATTTAAGACAGCAACTGTTAAATATAAATGCATTAGGGAGAATAGATCGAGTAACAATAAATATACGGTGCCGGACAAAAATATATATATAAACATAGAGCACTTTTCGTAATGTATACAAAGTTATTTACTCTAATTTCTTTTCGCTAACTTTTTACAAAAGTATATTTCATATTACATACAACAAAAAAACAAAATCTCTTAATTTTTCGGGAAACTCAGGTATATTCAACAAATTTGCAACTTTCTAATCAGATTTTTTCGAAAAATTCTAAGTATGCAGTTTTATAGCCCACTTTAATATAATAAAGTATAAGCTTGAAGTAGCCAGGACTTGCCGTTTACTTTTGGCAATTCTTTGTGTTGATCGGGCTGTGCATTTTCATACAAACCAAGTATTTTTCAAGATTTTTTTATAAAATATAATTAAAAATAATGTTCTTCATCGAAACTGCTTTTTCTAATATCAGATATTTTTAGAAAAACATTCGATTCGAAAAAGTTTATTTGATGGCAGTTATGAGGGTATCTAGCCCCAGTGTGCGGTGGCGAGTTGAGCAATGTATGGGTTGTGGAAAATTGGTGTCCGCGGGGAATGTTGAGGGGAAGCAGCAGACAACAACTGTAGATACTATATAAGCTTGCTGAGCTCGCTAAGCAGAGTTCCGCAAGTAAGCGGTGCGGTGCGACGCATGCGCAAGACAGCACCAGCATACATACATACATACATATTGCATAGTTAAATTTTTCACTGAACGGTTGATCTTTATTAAAAAGGTTAATATTTTCGTTAAAAAAGATGGCGGCGGCCCAGTTTGCTATACTTTATTTCAATGAAATTTACTTACAATTTTTGTAGTTGGCGACATTTTAACTAGTTTGTACAAAATTTATAAAAATTCAACAATTTTTCACCGAAATTTCAAACTTAAAAAAAAATATTAAAACTCAACCGAATTCCTAGCCGCTTGCACTTTACATTCTTACGAAAGTTTGTAGAATTGTTTTTAGTATTGCACAATGTTTGAAATATAAATTTCTTCTTGTTAAAGAATGGATAATTTTTATAAAAATTTATTAAAATTAAATAATAAAAAAATTAATAGTGAAAACTTGTCAATATGTGGATGGGGTATAATTGTGATAAGCACTATTTAATAAGATAGACTTTTATAAAAAATTATAAACATCAAATAAACAAAAGAAAAGACCTAAAATCAATGGTCAAAATATCGCTAAATTAATTAGTTGACCACAAGTGTAAATACATACTTACATACATATGCATACATCCATTCGCATGTACATATATACGAAATTTGACAATGACTAGTACTTTCGCAAAATACTTATATGTACAATTATGGTAAAATGGAATGAGGAAAGTTTAGACGCCAAAAACGGTTAATTATTTTTCAGCGCTTAGGTTACGGTCATTAACCGAAAAATTGTTTTGGCTTCAAACTGAAGCTGACCAAAACAAAGCAGTCGTTTGTGTGGCATTTGGCATTAGAAAAGAAGAACTTAAACCGTGGATTATTTGAATAATTTACATTTGCATATTCGAACAAAACAAAACATACACACATATGTAATTTTATGATAAAATTTTTTTGGGTAGTCATGGTAAAAAATAGAATTGTAACGACAGAGTAATTTTAAGGTTATCGATAATGCTAATAAAATCGATAACTATGCTAAATATAACAATTTTAAAACATACTACGTTGGCAACTTGCGTTAGCGATCCGAAAATTGTCGCTAATCCGTTTGAGAATAGCCCCACAGATCTTTAAGAGATATACAAGTGGAACCCAACATTGCACGTTCATTCAAAGAGGGACACATCGCTTCAGAGACAAAAAAAAAAAACGCCTCTGAGAACAGGCGCAACGCGAGCTATGTGAGATTAATATAGAGAGCTAAATAGGGAAGTGAGACATACGTTCAGTAAAAAGGAGTAGCGCCAAATCCCCATCAGTGCGAAAACCTTAAGGTGCTGATCGGAAAGAATATTTAAGGCGACTTGCGGAAGGTTCAAAGACAAGATCAAATTCCTGTAAGTGAAAACACGGCGACTTAGTGACCGATGTCCAGGGTGTGCAAAAAATTATGGAGGTAATACCTCCCCATTGCACACTACTGAAAGTAGTAGCCGACATGGGCCCAGGCAACCAGTCGAGGACGATGGAGTCAATGTACCACCACCTCTCTGAATGAGCTGAAAAAGAACAAACTGCTGACCTGAGCTATTCAAGTACGGCAACGAGGAATTGAACAATATGTATAAAATTCAATACCCAATGAATCATCTCTACGTGAGGTTATGCTGCCCGGCCAGTAAAGGCCTCACATAATCCGAATGCATATCTAACGTCTTCGACTATAGAAAGGTTTATCTACTCGGTGGATTTATTTGGTGTAGTATGTCTGTCGCTTTCCATAGTGCCTTAACATCTCGATAACGAGAACAGCTAGCGATTTAAATGTAAGGCTTGGAAAATGGAGAAATCAGGAAAAAAGTGTCGTTGGATAAAAAATTACCTTGACCTTTCAAATGACTATCAATAATAACGGGTTTAAAGAAACTTTTTAAAAGGTACATTCATCAAACGTTTTTCTTTTGAAGCTGGGTTTTAAGGTCAAGGTAATTTTTTATTCAATCACACCTTAAAAAGTAAAATTATTTGTTTTTTGTACTTTTTTGACGGTAAGTATGTATGTAAAGAACAAATTAAATGCGTATTCGACTCCTGCGACCATGCAAATGGACGTCTGACGCATGAACAGCATAAATATGTATTTTAAACTTTTGAAAAAGTCCATTGCATACTGTGTTCAGCTCAAAAAAGATCAACAATATTTAAAACGCTCAATTTTTTAAGGCCGTTTTAAGTAAATTTTTTATCCAGCGACGCTGAATTCTGCATCCCAAAAGCTTTCAAAAATATGGTTATTTTTTTTGTTTTTTTGTTGGCCTAATAAATCATATTAACAAATTTTTATTGAGGTTGAGGCGATTTTTTGTGAAAAATTTTTGGGGAAACAACAACTACCATTTATAAGTAGAAATTATAGCTGTAGAAGAAGTCTGATGAGGAGATGTGGCGATCTCCAAAATAGCAAAATACCATTTAGAAACTGGTGTTGTTTTTTCATCAGGTTCAATAAAAATTGCTTTCAAATATAGTTCAATTTGTTTCGCTATCAGTTCTCTTTCTAGAGATATTAGATTTTATCACAAAAAAAAAATGCAATTCTTCCAACCAACCATCAACCCCTAGATGTTGTCATAATTTATTATTGTTTTACTTTTCTCAATAAAATAGCGCAATATTTCTTTTATGAATATTTGCGAAATTCGGATTTAAGAAATGCTTACATAAATATTAGAGTGTTCTATTACTTGCCTTTTTCCAAAACCGGTTTTTCGAATTATTCGGTAGATTGCAATTTGAAAAAACCGGTTCCCTATTTTGAAATTAAGAAAAACCCGATAAAGCGGTTTATTTTACATAGTTTTCATATGATGAAAATGCTTATGTTGGTATGAAGTCATGACCGAAAATTACAATAAAACGATTAACCTCAAGCATAGCTTTTATTTAGAAAAAAGAAAAGCAAAAAAAAAAATAAACAACAGTGAAAAGTTCAGGTTTGGTCTTATTTAAATTTTGTTTAATACTTTATTGCAATTTCCTGCTTTTTTCGGATTTGAGTAGTGATCTTGCCACCATAGGCGAGTGCTTAGATATGCCTACCGCTACTCGGTAGGTTCAGGGTTCAATTTCTGGTCCCATTAACATTAAAAAAGACGAACCTCACAAAGTACTTCTTCAAAGCTGGAGTAAAAAGTGTATATCTCTCCATGTAGCAGTTTCCCATAAACTGAAGAAAAACATCAAAAATGAAAAGTGAAAAATTCGGTTTGTTCCGTCAAAAAAATCGGGTTATTCGATATTAAAAAAATCAAGATTCTAAAAAACCGCCATATATATCCAGACCACCGGTCGAAACCGGTTTGGAAAACCGAGTCGAATCACCCTAATAAGCAGAGATAGTGAGATATCTACATAAATATCTGTTCGCCAAAATAATAAAATCAAATTCCTGCCAACGTTTACACCCTCATTGATAAGCCGTGAGAAAAATATACGAAAATTCGACGCGCCGATGGCAACCATATAAAAATATCAACATTTACTCAATAAGTACCCATTCATAAAGACGTTCAATCAATTTCTATAATTTACCATTTCGTTTCATTTATTTATGTATTTTTGTCTGACCCATTCGACATGCTGAATGACTTTTTTTTTTATTTATGGACATTTTTTATTGTCATTTATTTTTCACTTTTATTGAATCACATTGTTGTCATTTCCGACCCCATAGGCCAGTCATGTCCAACACTTGTTTGTAAGCAAGCAAGTGTGCGTGCAATGTCTCCCAAGTGAATCTACGCTGCTAGAGCGCCGCTGCTTGGGCTGGCATGGCATGGGTCAGCAGATGTATGAAAGAGGTCAGTGATATGCGTATACTCTGAAGCGGAGAATGTTTGAAGATTGAAATGAAAAAAAAAATAATAAAAAAATGGGAAAAAAATAAATGAATCAACAATAGGAAGCGAAAAATTGAAATGTCATGAAGAGCAAAGACGGGCAAACAGACTTGGAAAGCGTAGCGTAGCGACTTTGTTAGTCAACATGAAATACGTGATAAGCACCAAGTCGCACCAAGTTTAGTAACAATTTTCCACGCTTGAAACTATGCATTTACTGCAAAGAAAACTCAGCAGAATTTATCAAGTCTTGAAAGGCTGGAGGAGGGAAAAGGGTCACTAACGACCGATATATGTAGGCACTGCGCACTTGCATAGATAAAATACCGAGACACATACATACATACATACATATTTATGTATCTATATATGTACAGTGTACAAACATAAAATCATACATACATACGTATTGAGAAGTGACAAACCCAGCAAAGAATAAAATTTATAGATAACAGCCATGGTCAACCATTTCTTGGTGTGAAATCTATGTTTATTTAATTGTGCGATTTGATAAGAAAGAAAAAAATAAAAAAAATAAAGATAACAATGAGATCAGACAGAATAATACAATGTGTCGTACTGAGAAATGGTGGATTAATACTTATAACGCAGACGTAAGTCCAAAAGTATAGAAAGGCGGCGGCGTTGATTCGCGGCAACTCGTAAATTCGGAATTATTCGCAAATTTAAGGCAGATCGGGGGTATTTTCAATGATAATTTATAAAAATTGAGCAAGAACTTATTTACGTTAGTATGCTGACTGCATTACCGACAAAGAGCTAGTAGATGTGCATGCCAGTTTTGTATGTTATCTGCATTTTACGCTCTCTGAGCAAACAAAGTCCACGGTAGTCAGAACTTTATACTACAGCTCAGTAGGACCCGGAATCGATCCCCACTACGAGCAATTGTAGAAACTCATTTTTTTTTTGTTTTTAACCGGCTTGAAATAACGGAGGAAGGGGTTCATCGGAATATTTTTGTTTTGTTTTAAAACCGTATGTAAACCGTTTTCGATAATTCTGATGAAGAAATTAACAGTACTCGTAAACTTTTATATGAGCATTGAAGTCGGTTTTGTTTGTTTTCTTAAAAAACGGGAACTAAAAAAAATTTAAATTTTGCAGGCCGTTGGATTGAATCCACGACCTTGAGTTCACTTAATGCGCAATGCTTCTGCCTATCAGGGTACAATTTTCATCAGATCAACTGTGTGCTATAAGATCTGCAACAGACCGGAGATGAAAATTCACAAATGATTGCAATCGTCTGACAGCGAATATACACATGCCTTTCTATAGAGATTTATACATAAATATGAATGTGCTAAGACGTTTCACAACAAATATCTTCTTTTGGCTGTATATGTATTTACGCAAATATAGTGTGTTGCACATGGCCACAGATATCCATTGAAACTCGGCCGGGGTGTGTTTCTGCAATGCATGTCTAAGAATTCGAAATATTGTGTTAAACGTGCAACATGCACAGCGATTCCTTGAAGGAATTTTACGCTCTGTACGCGTATGTATGTGTATACGCATGCGAAGTGAATGTTTCGGCATGTTTCTTGCCTATTCAGATAATCGGTGATAAGAGGGGGACAAGGGGTATGCAATGTGGAAACAGCTACTGCAAATAGAGGCGTGGAATATTTAAACATATGTTTGCACACGTTGCAGGGATAACAACTACAAGTAGCGCTGTTAGGGAACTTTATAAACACATACATATGTATATTATGCATTTAAGGCATTGGAAATGATTTACAGCTCCGGCATTGTACGCAGAATTAAAACTGTGAGAACGGAAGCTACTATTGGGCAATTTTTATGAAAAACTATTTAAAATAAATATTTTAACATATTTAGCTAAGTATACAAATTTATAAATGATTTTAAATGGCAGCTGCTAGACTCTTCAGTAATCAAATGATGGATAGCTCCTGTCTCTTCAGGTCAAAGGTTTTTCGGAGTGAAAAGTAATAACAGATTGGGTTTCATCTTTGTCAGGGACAAGATACGGATGGACGGCAGAGTCTTTCGAAGCTTTCAAAGTTGCTAACGGTGATCGAATTTTTCCAGCACTAACAAGGAAGTATTGGGGATATCATTGATACTCGGAACTGTATATATAGGAATAATAAATGCTCGTCATATTTATTACTCATGCCCTTATCTTAACTAAATCGTACAGGCCTAAAGCATAGTTCACTCCAAATCGGTATGCATGAAATGGGTTACATACATACATATATCAGTTTAACAGGTTTTCAGAAAATAATAATAATTTAATATATCGAAATAAAGGGAATCTTAAATCAAAATAATTCACTTACCTCTGCTTATAGCCATAATACCAATGTGTTGTCTCCTTTAGTACTACAACCGTATCGCCTACATCGAGACTCAAGCGGTGTGGCTTTTCTTCCTGATCGAAATTGCACTTCGCTAAAAAGAAAAAAAAAACACAAACAATACGGAAATTAGTTTTAATGCAACAACAATAAAATGTTTGTATACCAAAGTGTTTCGAATTTTCGCAAATTCACAAGCGATTGCGACTAATCAGACAATACACAGAGAACAGCGTTCTTTGTTAGAATTTGATGTGTAAATATTTAAGGTTAGGTTGAAAAACTAACCATATCGATTTGAATAGAGTGTAAGCACTTTTAACTTAAAATAGCAGCTGATTCAAGAAATTAGTCTGCTTAAGCCATAAACCACATTTTTTTCTATACCAAAAAAAAATAAACTTAAAAACCAAAACGTATAAACAACCTAAGCGTTTTGCTGACACGTCGCTACTAAATAATTGCGAAGAAATGTTTCAGTCTGTTCGAAAGCTATGAAACAGATTCAAATATTTGTGCTCATACGCAGATTAAAAAAAAAAAAACCCCTGAGTTACTGCATATAGCAACAACAGCGACTGCAGAGGTGTAGAAAATAGTTTAGCGCACTTAGCTGCCGATGGTTTGAGCTTCGAATTAAAAAAATTATTGAGCGCAATGTGGGAGATTTGCTTTAAAACGCCAACGAACGAACGTGCGAAATCAGTGGGAAATTCATTCAAGCGTTTACCTTCGCTTACCTTCCATACGAGCGTGTATGGTTTTGTATACATATAAATTTCAACAAATTTCGTTATGCGCATTTGCTGTTGTTGTACCTCGTAATGGGGGTGAAACTAATAGATTTACTGATAAAAATTATATTTTGCAAACAACGAAATAAATTTCGACACAAATGATGTCGCAAAGGGAGGGTGAGTGTACGTGTGTTTGTATATAAGTATATAGGTTTGCAGTTTTGCAATTGGCATATGCAAATTGCACGTACGAATATAGTTTGCCATTTCCTGTGTCCGCACACACGGCGTGGGGTGTTGCGGTATCAATGAACTTGCAAGGTGACGGATGAATGGGTGTTAAATATGAATGAAACAATAACCGTAACTGGAACGATAACCACGTGAATGAATTAAAAAATATTGCAATTTATGCTGGCATATGTAAGTGCTTGTGTTAATACGTTTTGTACCCGCTCATACCCGCTTAATGGGTTATTTATGTTTTTTTTTTGTAGTTTTGCAAAGGAAGGGGTGTTTAGCTACATACATGCGTGCCAACCCTCGGGTCTTTAATTTATTATAAGCTGTTTGATGTTTTCTTTTTTTGGCTGAAGCGTTCTAATACATACATACATATGTATGTATATTGGGGTGTCTCAACAAAAAAAAAAAGCTATTATATTTAAAGACTTTTGCCAAAATATTTCGGAAAAATATTAAAGGAATTCATGAAACGTCGCAAAGTTGTTGCAAATGTCGCATTTGTTGCAAAATTTGCCGCATGGCGAAACAGCTGATTACTTTTGTATGCAAACTTTCTTGCGACAAAATTGCAACACTGCCATATTATTTGAGCTGGCAACCATTCATTGCAAAGTCAAAGTATTGAAGAAAACGTATATCAGTTCGTTTTGGCTGCTTCGAGATATAATTGTAAAAACCTTTCTTTTTCACTTATGCGCGGCATTTTGAAAAAAGTTGACATTTGCAATCTGGAGTTGCAATAAGTCGTTCATACAATTTGGTTGGCAACGTTGCCATTTCGCCAAAAATGTCACTTTGCGATGTCTCATGAAACGCACTATTAAGATTTACGTGAGCAGCACCGATTTCAAAAAATACCTCCAACTATCTCATTATTTTGATTTCGTTGATAAATTTTTAAAAACTTTTATGCCGACCACCTAAGTTTAAACTCTTTTGTCATCTAAGTTGATATTTTGGGAAAAAAATGTAACTAATTTTATTTATAAAAAACTCGATTTTTGGAAGTAGTATTTTCAAATCGGTCCAGCCCACGTAAATTTTAATATTTTTCTGAAATATTTTCTAATTCCGATGGAAGAACGGTACCGATTTTTATTTTTATATTTTTGTATAGAGTGATGAATCCTAATGTATACATATACTTATGTATAATGAATTGAGCTAAAGTAATGAATAAGAGAATGTATGAAGTTATGAGGGTTTGTTTTTTCAACACAACTCAAATACTCGTACTAACGAGTTTTCTTGGCAAAAGAATGTAAAAACTTTCCTGGTAAACAAATTTCATAAACTTTTTCTGTAATCGCTTTTTTAATAACACATGCATTAGGGTGGTCCAAAAACAGTTTAGTCGAAATCACCCTCTGTGATGGTTCTACATCGAAAAAAGTATACCCCTTTTTATTTATTTTGAAATCAAAAAATATTTAGAGGTCGCTCAAAGCGCTCAAAGTTTTCCATGTATTTTTATATGGGAAAAATAATTTTTTTCATAGAAATGGTATAGAATTCTTGAAAGTCAAGTTCTCTTCAGGAGACTTTCAATAATAATACGCAATTGCTTATTTAACCATTTTTTTAATACTAATGCCTTTTTATTGGTCGCCTCATTGATTTTTCGGGGTTTTTGTGGGTTTTTGGCGGACCTATAAATTATAGTTGCATATAAAATACATGGAAAACTTTGGGCGCTTTGAGCGACCTTTAAATATTTTTTTCTTTCAAAATAAAAAAATAAGGATATATTTTTCGGTGTGCAAAATTAAAAAAAAAACAGTAAACTCTCGTAAAAACTTCGATCATTTATCGGAATATATATATATATATATATATTTTTTTTTATTATTTATTCGTTTATTTATACAATTCATCAATTAGAGTACAACTCAGATAGATTACTAAAGTTAAATAAAAAAGAAAAGGAAAAAATAAAATAAAAAATAAACTACAAAATAGATATGACTAATAAGGTACATGTACAAAATACAATATGCGAATGTGCATATGAATAAAAAAGATTATTTACAATTTAAGAAATGCAGCTCCAGAAATAGTTTAGATTTAAAGCCATCAAGAGAATTTGAGAAAACGTCTAAATTTTTACAAATTTGGTTAGTCTGCCACAGACAACGCGTAAGTGGCTCATTACACATAAAGTTGGTCTTGTGAATTGGTAAACGGAACATGTCACTGAATCTGAGATCCCGAGCAGGACAATTGAAAAGAATTAGTTCAAGCAAGAAGTGGCACTTGACATGGCTGGTGACTATGTCCCTAATAAACATGATTTTTTATGTACTTTACGATTACGTTTACAAGGTCATGCCCTAGGCGGTAGTCACCATAGGCTCTCTCTGCACTACCGGGAGTTACTAAAGTATACTTACTAAAGTATACTAAAGTATACTTGCGTGACTGTCGTAGTTTTTCGCTATCCTGCTTACGACTGGTTCGACTCTGCACTACCATGTGCACTATCACGGGTTAGTAGAGTAGTCGGTGCAGTAGCGGTTCAAAAGTAGCGATTGACTCCAGCAGTACTGGCGGAGGGTGGATCATGAAAAAATGTGCAATAATTTTAAATTTTTGTATTAGAATTGAAGTCGGTTTTGGTTTTTGCTTAAAAATTACTTTTTTGGAATTACCGTTACGTGAGTGGAACGCGTGGTTTTTGTTATGTCCAAGCTTATTCCTTTCGGCGATGAAATTTATCTTTGACTTACAATTCTCTGTGCAGAACTAAAATAAATGAACTCTGTACCTATAAACGGGTGACTATCTATTTGATGTAAGATTATAAAGGATGTGAAAGAGATAGGATCGCAAAGGCAGCTCCGCGTTCTTCTCCTCATTGAAAATGTCCAAAAGATCAATACATTATTCTTTTCGATTTTGAATAACTTTTCATGAGAAAAACTTAGATAAGTACTTTACTTCAACTTTTCTATTTCTATTTGATTAGAGCTTTTTAATGATGGCTTCTCTAGTTTTCATAAATTGGTAATTTTTAAGCATTTACTTTTTTATTCAATTTATGTTTTCTAAGTTAGAACGCAATAAATTTCAGCTGTAATTTGAGTAACGCTCTAGTAAAAAAAATATGTGAATCATTAAAACCAGCTAAAACCGTTCGCAACCCACTTTAAAGTGGTTTTAATGGATAGTAGTAGGAAATCCATGGCAGTACAGCAGTAAATTTTAATTTACTTTCCTTTTTTATTAATTCGCAGTGTGCGTATCTTCTGCTGCAAATCACATTCGCAGACAAATTCCAAGCAAACATTTTTAAATATGCAAAACAAGAGATATGTAGCAGGCAATTATCGGTGGTTGAAGGCTGCTGACCGGCCGACAGGCAACAATCAGCAAGCAAAAGATAAAATTTGCTGGATTGGAGCAAGCGGAGTTCACTAGCTATGTAGCTATTAGCATGCGCTTATGCTCCTAGGAACATACATAAATACGTACATACATATGTACAATTTCAGTCAATTATGGACCAAAGCAAACGCATGCTCGATCCCACACGCTGAGCTACCTATGTATGCACATTAGGGTGGTCCAAAAACAGCAAAGCCGGAATTGTAATGCTCTCACCCCCTAGGATTGCTCTATATCGAAAAAGGGTATACCCCAATTTTTTTATTTTGAAATCAAAAAATATTTAGAGGTCGCTCAAAGCGCTCAAAGTTTTCCATTTATTTTTATATGGGAAAAATACAATTTTTCGTAGTAATGGTATAGAATTCTTGAAAATCAATATTTTTCGATCGGAAAACTCCGGTTCTCTTCAGGATATTTTCAATAATCATACCTAATTGTTTATTTAACCATTTTTTAATACTAACGATTTTTTATTTGTCGCCCCATAGCATTTTTCGGGGTTTTTGTGGGTTTTTGACGGACCTATAAATTATAGTTGCGATGAAAAAATGGTTAAATAAAAAATTGGGTATTATTATTGGGAATCTCCTGCAGATAAGCAGAGTTTTTTGGTAGAAAAATATTGATCTTTAACTATTCTATACCATTTCTACGAAAAGTTGTTTTTCCCCCATATAAAATACATGGAAAACTTTGGGCGCTTTGAGCGACCTCTAAATATTTTTTGATTTCAAAAAAAAGAAATAAGGGTATAC